CAGCAGCTACAAAAATTCATTCATTCATTTCTGCCCGTGTATTTTCTGGAGTAAGAGCTTAGTTACTACAATGGTCAGGGGTGCAAAACCTAAGAGGAGTTGCAGACCTCATCACTGTCTTAATGAATGATTTATCTGCTTGGAGCACATTGTAGATTATACTTTGGGACTCAAAACATACCTGAAGAAGGCATCTTTTAGTGGTCTAGTCGAACTCCCTTTTGCTGCCCCATTATTGCACTGAGACAAGACATCAGTGTCTTCCTCATTTCTCTGAAGGGTAGTTTGTATTTTTGTTGACTATTTTGACAGTTTTTTGTGACACTTTGCAACCTCTCTCTTTTGAGGTCTTATTTCATGGAGAATCTACATATGGAATAAAAAAAATGGATTTATAGGGGGGGGAAATTCCTGTGAAACGGCAGAAAGATGTATATCGGTTCTTCAAGCAGATAAACATGTTTCTATTGTTTAAAAAAAAAAAAAAATTCCTGACCCATGCCCTTGGTGATACTGGTTGGCAATTTCTGCCTCCTTTTGTGCTGGTCCCATATCCTAGATGTGTTATACTCAAAACATATTTAGTGGACCACTGACATGAAGAAACACATGTCTAGTGTTCATCTGTCAGCTTTTTGAATATTCCTTCATCCCCACACACCCGTCCTACACAAACCTTTATATTTTTTATTTTATTTTTGTCGATCAGAGAGCGTAAGTCTGACCTGCGGCCTAGAAGTAGCAGAACTGTCATCAGAAGTTTCACAGCCTTCTAATGCAATTTTTGTGTTGGTATAGAGGTGGATGACAACAGGACATCTGGTAATCTTGGCTATTTATAAAAATAGCATTATATGGGAGGGGGTACAGAAATATGAAAGGTCACAACCTGAGAGAACAAAGCCTTAACAGCTGAGGCAACCAAAATTATTTACAGTTGCCCTTTGTACTCGCAAACATCGCATTTTCCGATGACATGTGTAAGCTGCTGATTGAAATGGCTTACATCACCTGCTGGGTCCAAATTAAATTGCTCTCTGCTTATATGCTGTATCATAAAGAATTCACCCACAGCCCCCTAGCATCTACTCAGTAATTCCTGCCTAGTTTTTAACATTCTGTGTACATAATGCATGTTTTATAAATAGTTTTACCTTGGTGTTTATAGTTGTTGTTAGCATATCACCATTGCCCCTTGAAAGCTGACTCTTCACCTGAATCTTAAGCTGATTCTTCACAGGGCTGCTAACAACAGACTTCTGAGCACAGAACAGATTTGTGTGTGAAAAACCAACAGTGTTCAAGTATGTCTGACCAATACTGGAAGTTGGGTGCTATGCTTGGAAGGGGGGGGGGGGTGGTATTAAGATTTTCTTCCATCTATTGCTCCTGAATGTAAAAAGTTGCTCCCCTTAGATTTTCAGGAAGTCTTTAATTGAACCATAAAAAAGGAACTAGTGGGAACTAGTACTGCCATAAAACTAGTCTTGATACTACTATAGTATTAAGGGAAACGGGTTTTAATGGAGAAAAATGTCAAGAAGAGAAGTGGGTTAATATGAAGAAGCAAAAGAAATTGTAGAGGCCGCATGAAGCATAGAATTTTACCCACCCAGTCCTACACAAAGTTCTAATCTTTTGGTTGAGCTCAAACGTATGTTTTAATGCTCTTAAACTTGTCCTGTCCTGTTCCTTTTCCCCTCCCTCCCCCTTCTCCCTGCCCTCTGTCCATCTCTACTCATGGCACTGATCCGCAGTGTGATTTCACCCTGAACTACGTGCCTGTGTTTAGAGATAATCATCAGTACAGGAAAGCCTCACTTCCTCCAACTATCTGAACAAAGTAAAAGGGAAGAAGACTAAAGAAGTTTTAAAAACAGACAGACTGATCCTCTGCATTTTGTTTTGCCTCGAGTATGCAAACCCATGTATAACACTTAGATTTGCTTTTGGAACCTGAGACTCCATCCTTAGGCACTTTGTCTTAAAGCAGAGAACCACAAATAGCAGGAGGACAGATTCAACCAAAGTGAATAACAGAGTAGTATGAATAAATTGCATTTCTTGCTATGATGAACATAACTAAATCTTGCTTATTTTGCTTGATGATTTTTTTTTTTTGTATGTTTTAAGTACGTTTAATTTTTTTAGGTTCTCCCATAGCAATACAATATAGCAAAGTATATATAGAGATGAAACCTCTCTCTACTTTCATACAGAGCTGTTAAAGTTGGTAGGGAGCTCATTGTATGACCCCTGTAAGTCTATAAATATGTTAGTGTTTGTAAGGATGAGTTTTTCTCTGTAGAAATAATTTCAGTAGATATGTTAATAGTATGTACGTATGTATGTGTCTTGGCTTCCTTTCCGAATACAGCCTCCTGATACAGCCTTTACAAATAAAGATAGGGACAAAAGCCAGTTCTTGAGGGCACAGGGATAAACCGAGAATATATTTCCCTCCACTCTAGGGAAATTTTTTAACATGTATGATGAATTACTTGTAGGCCTCCTCTGGCTCAAATCAGGTGTTGAATCAGGATTGGCTACTCTTGGGGATGCATTAAACCAATCTCTTGAACTCAGAGGGATAAATTTGAATATCTGTAATACAGCCAATTTTAACAACTGAGTTGGGCAGACCCTACACAATAGAGCTGGAAAATTACCACCCCACTCCTGCTGATCAGTTTACTAAATCAAGAAGACAACAGATACTTCACCTTCTTAATAAAATCTATCAGTGCAGTGACAAGAAGGGTGTGTGCACGTATGTGGGAAGTTTAAGCCAACTAGGCAATTTATCCAAAGCATCGAGTCTTTTCAGACTTTCTTGCTTTATGCATCTGGCACCCAGACAGGGATACTGTGATAACTAGCACTGTGAATGTGACTGGGGTGAGAGAGACTGGGAACAAGCACTGCTAAGCCCCATTGACCTTACTGGACTCGAAGCACATGCTGAGGTGGAACTGCAGTAGGATTTACTCCTCTACTCAAGTGTTTTTCTGAACCAAGGGAAACGTAAGACTTGTTCCAAACTTGAAGAGTTTTCTACAACAAACTTAGATTCTATCTTGAGCTGATTGTCCTGTATCATTATTCTTTCACTTCCAGTCCTCTTGATTTTCATACCTCTTTATTGTATCCATTAATGCAAATAGGTCACCATGGAAACAACCTCTTGGGAACTGGCAGCTGTGATGCATTTGCTGCTGTATATGTAGACAACCGTTCATCCCGTGACTGAGGCTGTGGACAGACAACTTTCAACTGCTTTAAAAGGGAAGGAGGATTTGCTGCTAAGGGACACACACCAGCTGTTATGATGCAATTGTTATATCTGCATGCTCCTTTAGGTTGCATCCCCATGAGCGCGCACGTGTGTTTTGTGGCACTCAATCCCGGTGTCAAAAAAAAAAGCTGCTAAAAAAAAAAAAAAAAAGTGGTGCAGCACACATGGCAGCAGTGTGCGCCACCCGAAACTGCATGATCGGACTGCCAGCCAGGCTCCAAGCGACCAGCTCAGAGCCACTGCTGCCCTAGGAGGCCCCCAGGACTCCAGCTAAGGCTGCTGGGGCCAACACAAGTGCTGGACCCAGCCTCCCCTGCCCCACCCGGGCCCCTTTGCTATGCACCACAGCATGCGTGCAGGGGCATGTATGGGGACAAATAGCAGGAGCATAAATATGTGCCACCGCTATTTGTCCTGCAGGAAATGCATGCTCCTACATGTGTGCGCCCTTAGGGGGTATATATGAAGCAAAACTTTGTAACTTTAACTCTGTTTTATTCAGAGACTATGCTGTAGCACGTTAGCTCGCTTACACAGCTATGGGAGTGTGTAAATGTAACTACAGAACAACAGCTAATATGTGCTTCTGAGCAGCAAATCCTATAGTTTACCCCAGTATTGTTTGTTCCTGGTGTAACAGGGTTTGGACAGACAATAGTCATTGACTTATTTGTTTCATTCATTCATTTCACAAATAGACGGCTCATCTACAAAAGAGAAGAAGGCTTCCTGTCGAAAGGACGCAGGTGCAGCTGGGGGTTCTATCAGAATGAGGATGGCGTGAATTGTGTACAACTAAAATAAACTGAGGTGTTGTGTTTCTCATACCCTTTATTGTTTGTGCATTATATCCCTTTCCCGTGTTACCTTAGACTATAAATCCTTTAAGGCATGGATCAAACCTTCCCTTGCCTGGGAAGCACCTATGTGTATTTTAGACAGTAGTGCAATCACCAATAACAGTAGGGGTCTCAATTTTTTAAAACTGCTCAACACCCAGCAACTTCTGTTCCAAACAGAGTGCTGTGAACTTTGGAAAATGTGCCTAAATTGCTTAGTCTTATTGTCATAATTCCTACGTATAAAAAGATATGCACAGGCAGCATCCGAGAGCATCATATAAATATGCTTTTACTGGAACACAAATGGTACATGGCAGAGATTCCCAGACATAACCCCTTTTAGATTTACCAGGTGCCATGTACCCCTACCAGCATACATTTTATATTTTAACACCTTAAAGCCAATTATTATAATGAATAAGTCTGCCATTACACAATTTCTCCCACGTACCCCCTAGAGATGTCTGGCCTACTCCCAGGGGTACACGTACCACAGTTTAGGAACCCCTGGTATATAAATCAAATTGGATTTGTATCCAGTCTGTGGTATTTGCAAGTAACTGAAGCTTCTGAGATATGTGGGCAGAAAAATCCGGTAATGCTGCAGTAATAATGCCATTAATCCATTATCACCCGTTCCATAATGTGTTCAAATAGGTGTGAACAGTTGTTGAAGATTATTTCCTGCATCAGATCGTTTTATGCCCTGAAGCATAAGGCTTAGTTATCTAGATCTCTGTCAGCTTTCATACATTTAAATGTTGCCAAAAAGTTACTTTAGCAACTCCTGACACAGTATTTATCTTAACTTTTTCCCATAGAGATGAATTCCACACATTTCCTATATGCTTTATAAAGGAATATAAATCTATGATTCTAATGAACTAAGCAGTGATCTTAGTTTCCATATGGTAAGCTAAAAATATTTTTGGCATGTCTTGCATATTTTTTATGAATATGTAATTGAAGCTAAGAAGATCAAGAAGGAAATAAGTGTCTGAAGTACATACTTAAGTGCTTTCATGAAATCGGTCTTAATAAGGATAAAATAAATTGTATACAGTATTGGCCTCATCTACAGTTTTGGTTACATCACCCTGAAAAAGGGAAATGAATTAAAAGAAACGATAGGAGGATGATGGCTGATCATGAAGAACTAAACATATTGAGGAAGCTACAAACTAAGCAGGTAAGTTGTCAGGGTTAAAGAGAAGAGGAGATAAGTTCTGAAAAATTCAGTACCAAGACTTCCCACAGTAGTGTTTCAAACGTGATTAAATCACTGAAGTATGTATAAGCAGTTCACAACCAGAGTTTGTACATGCTACAGTTTGTAACCACATGAACTAGCCTGCACTAAAACATGGTTACAAATTGCAGCATATGGAAACTCTAAACGAAAATGCGCAACACAAGTGTGCCTGGAGTCTGCAGGGAAAGGCTGGCATAATCTCGCTGGACGTTGAGATTTTACAATATTTAAAAAAGAGACCTTGTCCTACAGTGTGCTGAAAAGTACTACAGTGTCTTGAAGGGATGCATGGTAAGTATGATACCGAATTAATTGCACAAGAAGGCATAAACCTTCAAGGAAACGGAGATAAGTAGAGACTTCTTTAAGGAGGTGGGATGGGGAAGGGTTAATTTTCCTCTTCCTGATTTCCAAGGCCAGAGACTGGAATTAAACATATTTAGTCCATTTCAAAAGCTTAGTTAGGAATTTTCTTTTCTCTACGCTTCTCGTGCAATCAGCATGTCGTTGTTTTAACAAAACTCAGGAGATCACAATGTTCAGCCTGGACACTAATGGAAAATAATTCAGTCTAGTGAATTTAATCGGGTACCTCAGAGAACTGTCTATTTCTTTTTAATTTTAGATTGCCTTCAGGATTGATCAGTCACTTTAGTTGATGCCGTTTCCAGCTCCTAGTTTGGGGGGTGTGGCTGGTAGATCCTCCTTATCCTTGCCTGCTGGAACGGATCTTACAAGCTGTGTGGTGAGGGTAATTCAGAACCAGCCCAGCACAGATCCAGCATTTTTGGTCCCTTTGCAGAGCTGTGCTCAGTGCCTCTTGGGGCCCCTGCTATATGTTGCATATATTATGCAATTAACAGGTTAATTGCACAATAAATTTAGATTAGCCACACATGCAAAGTAATTACCACCTGATAAAAATGACTAGCTATAAAATGAGCCAACCAGCTATAAAGTTAGTGCTTGAAAATGTGTAACAACTCTATCACTGGTTTCTCTCCCACTTTAATTTGAACATGTAGCAGAGCCCTTAAGCACAGCTAGGAATTAGTTCTTCCATTTGTGTGTGTTAAATTTTTGTATAATTATTCCAATTCTTGGCCAGCATAATTTGCAAAAGCACGTGTGCTGCCTATAGTCTCAGTTTTCCAGGGCCTCAGAGTAGTAGTCTTCTCATGAGACTCAGAATAGGTAGAAGTGATTTCCTGCAGAATCACAAACAAACGGCTACCAAAAAATATCCTCATGTGGTTCAGATGCTGCTACAATCTTAAAAACAAGAAAAAGATCAACACCTTTTTATCACTTCAAATATAGCCTTGTAACAGGTACATTTTGCCTCTCATCTTAATGTCCTATGTATGTGACTGACAGCAAGTATTGTGTTGAAATTAAAACCGGAGGGTGAGGGCTGTAGAAGCCAGGAGGGGATTGTGGAGAAAAGAAAGTAGTCATTGATTAGGGCCCTACCCTGTGATGTGGGGGATCCATTTCCCATTCCCAGCTCTGCCACAAGTTTTCTATGCATTTTGAGCAGTTCATTTAATCATAGAATTTGAAAAGCAGTATGAGCTTAATGACCTTAGAAAATCTGGCCCTTTTTTGGGGGGGGGTCCCTGTACATGAACAGGGGGGCTGCTCTGATGTACAGTAATTACAGTGTGTTGAAGCAGACTCAATTGGTGCCTCCACTGCCATTTTGAAGCATGGGTCTGTGGATACACAAGACACTCAGGGAGCTTTCATTAGAGTGACTCGGAGCCAGGATTTCAAAAGAAGCTTTAATTAAAGTGTCCCCCATCCCCACTCCCAGAGCATGTGTATGAATGCCCTCTGTGCCTTAGTTGACCCTTTTTAAAATTGGAATAATAGCACTTCCTTCCCTTTCTGGCATGATGTTGCGGGATAATATGCAGAGAATGTGGCCCCGCAAACATCTTAAAAGGTTGATGCTGGAGGAGAAAGAGGACAGTGGTGACTGTTATAGTGGACCAGTTAGTGACGAGATGGGAGATGATTGGATTTTGCTTTGAAGGGGAAAGAGGAGAGGCAGGAGAATGTGGAGGGAGAGAAAATCCACCTTTTTTTGCACAATCCTGGAAACAAGGAAACTTCTTAAGTTGTTAGTTCCTCTAGACCAGGGTTTCCACCAGGGATTCCCAGAGTTTTACACCTGAAAACCTATTTCAAAGGGGCAGTCCTGCGTGATGGGCCTGAGGGGCTTGTGGCCTGTAGGGCCCCTGATCTAAACAGTGCTTGACCTTTGACCCTTCTTTTAATGAACCTGCTTAAGAAGTTGTGTTCCCATCAGTGTCCTTTTTTCTGTGCTCAGATTGTCTGGTTAATAACGAATTTGATCTGAAGAGAGGGTTAGAAAAAGGAATAAACAGTGATCCAAGAATATGGCACGGTTGCAAATGTCTGCTGAAGCTGATGCTGTGTGGGATTTCAGGTTTAGTTCTGAGAATTTCCAGCTCTGGTATTCCAAGCCAGTTACCTGACTCTCCTGTTTTTATTTGTTATAAGATTATGAAAGTCAGAGTAAACTCATCATGAACTCTGGTTGGAGAATCATCAGGTTGGAAGAGACCATGCTGTTCCTAAACATCCCTATCCAATACTTACCCTGTGCCTTCTTGAAAATGCCCAGCGAAGGAAATTCTACAGCTTTGCAGGGCAGCCTGTTCTAACAGTAAGAAAGCTTTTTCCTGAGATCTTTTCTAAATCTACTTTGCTGCAATTTGAAGTCATTGGTTCATGTCTTACCCTCTGCAATAAGGGGAAAAACATTTCCCTCTTTATGGCAGCCTTTCAGATATTTGTAGACTGTTCCCTCACCATTACCTGTTTTCATTAGTTCATGCTTAAAAATGCCGTGAAGCACAAAATCTCTCAAATGCAAAATGTCTCCTTTTGATAGTCTCCCATTGCCCTGCTTTTTAAATCAGGCTGATAAAGTGGCTGGATGTTGATGTGATCCTGTTGTCTGCACACTGTTGTAGGTTTGCTATCCACGGGTATTTCTTTTATAACTGAGTGATGGTGATCCAGAAGTGACTATCCTAAGGAAAGCATGGAAGGAGAGCTGCAGAATACAAACACTGCTTTTAGGAAAGGTGGGCAGGATCCCCACAAGAAGCGAGTGTAAGATCAAGCCCTGTCCTTATAAACTATCTGACAGATACCTCATCCCACAGAATCAAAATGTGTTCAGTCTCAGTAAAGAGAGAAACTTAAAGGTTGATTTGCACTGCAGACCCTGAATCAGCTGATGGGTAGTCAGCCAAATCCTTTTACCTGCATTTAAGGTTTTTCTACCCATGATGCCTCTGCAGTGAGATGAACAAAGGAATAAACTAGCTTGTCCCATTGTCTGACCAGAGAGCAGAGGATAAGCTGGTCATGACGAGGACTGCTGGAGAGACTCCAACAGGAGGAGGAAGGGGAACGCAGTGTTGCTGCTCTGCCTGGCTGCTCTAATGCTTTTCTTCCCACTTCTGCCTATTGGCACAGGGTGGGTCCCTGTATAAACTGGTCCTTGCCCACCTGCTGTATCTTTACCATTCCTCCATCTGTCCTGGTGTGAAAGCTCCCAATACAACATGCCCTTGTTACCTCTCATTATGATCTCATGGGACACTCAGATGGGCATCACTCTTTTCTACCCATTGGACTATAGATATAGTACAAGTGCACTCTGGGACAAGCCCTCACCCTGGGG